CTTTGTTCTTCAATATCCCCTTCTTCAACTGATTTCAAGAACCACTGAAATGCTTTCTCCTCATCTTTTTTAGTTCCAATCCCATTATAATAAAATTTGCCAAGACAAATCTGTGCTTGATTATGTCCTTCTTCAGCTGATTTCAAGTACCATTGAAATGCTTTCTCTTCATCTTTTGTGATTCCAATTCCATTTTCATAATAATATCCAAGATTCCATTGCCCAATACTATTTCCCCCTTCAGCGGATTTTAATACCCACTGAAATGCTTTCTTTTCATCCTTCGTAATTCCAATTCCGAATTGATAACAAAGTCCAAGGCTACATTGTCCTTGACCATTTTCTCCTTCAGCTGATTTCAAGTACCATTGGAATGCTTTCTCTTCATCTTTTGTTGTTCCAATCCCATCTTCATAATAACCACCAATCTTTAACTGAGCATTATTATATCCCCCTTCAGCTGATTTCAAGAACCACTGGAAGGCCTTTTCTTCATCCTTGATGGTTCCAATTCCATCTTCATAACAATATCCAAGATTATATTGTCCATTGATATTCCTTCCTTCAGCTGATTTTAAATACCAGTGAAATGCTTTCCTTTCATCCTTCATGGTACCAAACCCATCATCATAACAATATCCAAGACTACACTGTCCATTACTATTCCCTTCTTCAGCAGATTTGGAGTACCACTGAAAAGCTTTTTTTTCATCCTTCGTGGTTCCGATTCCATATTCATAACAAATTCCGAGATTAAACATCGCATCACTATCTCCCCCTTCAGCTGATTCCAAGTATGACCGAAATTTTTCCTCGTCGTCATCATCTTTGGTGGTGATTCTAATTTCATTACATTCTACATTTTCCATTTTCTGAGTTTTTTTTTAAAAAAAAATGAAAATTTTAATATAATATACGTTTTTTGTAAATTCAAGTAAATAAAGAAATTGAGGTTATAATCAAATTTTATTCGAAAATATTATTTATATATATGAAATTGTTCAATATGTTTAACCAATCAGAGTTTATTTTTAAAGTTGTATTATGATAATACATTTGTGTGACATGATCTCATTATTGATTCTTTAATAATTACAGAGATTTAATGTTGCGTTGCAGATAAACATTTAGGAATGTAGCATTTGGTTGGTTTGAACAATTAAAAAAGATAGACATTTGGAAAAAGACGTAGCGCATTTGATAAATGTCAAGGAGAAATGCAATTCTATATGCATAATATAACATTATAATATAATATTATAATTTAAATTATATGTAATATACAGCATGTATAATGGGATTTTGTTCTATATTGAGTTTGTGATGGATTATTTTTAATTGTTTTTACTCATTGTTCTCTTTTTATTTTTCTTATTTTTCTCTAAAATATTTGAAAATAGAATAATGACGTCATTTTTCAATTAAGTATTAAAAGTGATATTGGGATGTGATTATATAATATAGTTGAGGCACATCAAAGTATTATTATCTGTTCTAAATAAATATATACAGTATATAATGATAAAATTTATTATTAATTTTTTATTCTATTTAATTAAGTCAATTAATCAATTACTTACAATAAGATCAAAAATCAATCAATCAATCAAGTAGATATAATTAATTTTTAGAGAAAGAGAATATGTCAAGAATGATGTAAATGTTTTGCTGATTAATTAGCACGAAGATTACTGTTATCAACTACACATATTATCATTATTACTGTTGTGTATTATAACTGTTATAATAATTGTTTATTATTTTTGAATGATGGATCACGTGTTTATATTTAATTCATTCAATTCATTATTTTATCCAAATATAAATCAAATAAAAAAATATATTGATATGTTTTATTGATATTATTAATCAAATTATTTATATTATATAATATTATTTATATTCATTATTATTTATATTAATTCATTTAATATTTAAATAATAGAATAAATATCCTACGCAAGTTCCAGAAATTCTAATGATTAAATGGGAAAAGCAATTCATCATATTTTCTTTATTTATTATTTTGCATTATATTCATTACTCACAATTTGTAATTATTTCAATTTACGTATGAAATCAAAACTGAGACGAATAAGATTGAAGAAACTAAAGAAATGATAAAAACTGAAAATTTCAAATTTAGAAGAATATTTTAATAATCAAATTAAAGTTTATCACTAAATATTCATTGAAATCTCGGAGTAATCAAATCATTTGATTATCAAAAGAGGGACAAAAAAATTATGATATAATTAGTAATACTTTTAAGATATTTTATTTTTTATTATTATTTTATTTTATTTTATTTGCTTTATTTATTATTATTCAAAATAGAAAAACAAGAAACTAAGAAACGCGAATTATGCTTAAAATATCTAAGACACATGTGACTTCAACTTTAACCTCAATCGGATCAAAATTTTAGGTTCTGAGTTATAGAATTTTTATTTTTATATTTAGTAAATAAAATTTTAGTGTAAAAAAGCTGCTATAACCAAGTTCCTATTATGTGGTTCAGTTTTTTTTTTGTTGTTTCAGAATATATTTTTTTTTCTGATAGCTTTTCTCTTTTGTAAATAGTATTGATGAATGATACAATTATATAAAATCGGAACCCTAATAATAAAAGGAATAACCATAAATTTTTGATATTTTCGAGTATAATTTCTTAGATAGGAAAAACACGTAAAATTTGTATGGAAATATAAAAGTATTTAAAGAAATAAATATTACGTTAGTTTTGAACTATAGTTGGATTGTGTAATAAGAAGTCATCACAAGTATAAGCCCTAAAAACCTGAATGATACATAAATATACTCACTCACATTTATTCGTAAACACATATATTAATAACAATAAGAATAATGATTCCAAAAAGTGTATTTACGCCCAAATTTTTTTGATCAAGAATAATGAATGAGCACGATAATATTTAAATTTGAAAATCTTTTTAAGTGTGCATTGTATTGCTTATGCAATTAATTTAATTTTAAAAGATGTGTGTGTAAAACATCATTTGTCAATCATATATTGCATCATTGTATGGTGTTTGGTTTCATATTTTAAAAGAAGTCATCTTACAGGTAATATTTTTATATTATTTAATATTGTTACAGGAATAATAAAATTAATTTATTTATTAGGACAAACATTAAAAGATTATGTTAATGAATTTGGAGTTAAGAGAGGTTTCTTTAAAAAATGGGTTGATGCACGCTAGCATACAATGTATGATTGTATTGAATCAATACTTCGCCATCAAGCTCCATTGGAAAAAGTATATGTAATATTTTATTATTTTATTAAATATTATATAGTGCAGGATACCTAAAGACTGAATTTTTGTGATTTGTTCCATTTCACAGTCAAATTTTAAAAAATTTAAAATGTTTTAAAAATACGATTTATACTGTACATGTTTGAAAAATTCAGTCACGTGAAAATCATATGAATTCTGAATTATGCGAACACCAAATCTGAATTTATATCAATTAATTGTATTTTATTTAAAAAATTAAAATAAACATTTGTTCCCATTGATTATTGTTTTATTGTATAAATAATGCCAATTCATTTTGAGAAATTTGCCTATGAGACTTGAAGTTTTTACATACATAGCATATTTTGCTAATTTTCCTTTCAATCCTTCTCGATATACCTAATTTCACAATGGACATTAGACAATATTGTCCAATAAAATTAAAGAACATGCCCCATTTTTCGATCAATCATATGAAAATACCACTTTTTTAAAATCTAATAACTCAATAATACATCATTATTTTTTAAAAAGCGAGCTGGCATTTTGTAGCAAATTGATCCAGTTACAAAATAGCAGCTTCCTTTTTTTTGTATCACCTATGTATAATTTTGGGTTACCTTTTTAAAAATGTAAATTTTATTTCAGTCTTTAGGTGTCCTGTACTGTATTATATGACGCAAAATATTTATTCTATCCACGTATATAAGTATGGATAATCATGGATAATAACGGATAAATACAGATAAGTACGGATAAGTACGGATATCTTCAGATATCCACAGATATATTTGGATATTTAATTACGGATATCCGTGTCTGTGATAAAGCTCACGGATGTCCGTACAGATATCCAGATTGCACCACTACTTTACACTTTTTATACTCTTTTATATTATTTGTATGCAGATGTTTAAAAATATATATACACATATATATAAACCAAAGCTAACATCCTTAATTTAAATTTTCTTAATGGTTTTAAATTTGATTCACTTCAGAACAAGATTATTTATATAGCAAAGGCAATTGCTAGGAAGAGGAGGACGCCCATAATTACGACAAAATTTACAATATTTTGCATCTTTTGAAAATTATCTCCGGGTACCATTTTTTTTAATCTTTTATTAATTCTTCATTTCCACAAAAATAAAAATTTACATTAGCGAAATTAACTTTTTTAATAAATTATCTAATTATTAATAATAATAAATAGAAATTACTTAAGATCACTGCTGGCTGATGATTATCACCACTGGGCAGAATTAAATTTACGTGGGCAAAAGTTAGAGTTAGGGATTAATCAGGGAATTATGTAATTTTGCCAATGGTGACAATCACCACTGGTGAGCTTTAGCAATACCCTAATAAATAATATAACAAACCAATATATGAATTAAATGGAAAAATATCTTTTCGTAATGAGATGTTAATATATCTCTGGTTTGGATCTTGGTTGATCTTTTTATATTTTAAATTCGATTAAGATTTTTTGGTTAATTGTCTTAATTATGTCACAATTCATATACATCAAAATATATCTTTCAAATGAAAATGATCTTTTTGTTTCGGCAACATGGAATCATGATTGAAACAAGATTTATCATTGGATCGTATAATAATTATGATAATAATGAATAATAATGAATAATAATGATAATAACAGAAGAAAATAAGAATAAATAATATTTCTTTATTTTCTAAATATAGAAATAAAATTTCTAACCATAAAAATCGTTAGGCTAGAACATAAATATGATCTTTTATTAGGTAAAAGTAAAAAATGATTTTCGCATGAATTTGAAATTTCAAAAGCAAATAAATTGATATTTATAAAAAATATATCACTAAAAGTGGCAGAGTCAGAGTAATAGTTAAATCTTATAAATCTCATCTCATTAATACAATTTAAAATGAAACAAAATAAATTTCTTCAATAAAATGATAAAGTCACATGTTGTTAAATCCTTGGCATGTATGCATGTATGATTACATAAACCAATAAAAATGTTCCAAATATAGGTTTAATTTTATAATTTTATAATTTGAGAAAATCAAATAATTGGATCCCACAAAATTTAAGATTTTCTAAGTTCCTGTTGTAAAGGTTCCGCACTGTATGCGGGAGGAATATCATCATCTCTAGTCCCACTTGCACTACCAGCATTACCATAATCATTATTATTGGTTTTGTATTTTTTATCAATTAATTGAACAATTTCATTATTAATAGGAGAACGAGGTCTTATTCCATTTCTTTTCATATACCCTAAAAACTGATCAGGAATTTCTTCTAAAACTTTCTTAGGCAATAAATATTTTGAATATTCCGTTTGAAACTCGTTCATAACCACAAATTGTACGATATCTCTTTCCATCCGAGAATTACCATCCTAGAATACAAAATAATATATATATATATATATATAAAATAAGAATATAGATAGATAGATAGTAGTATTGATATTTATATAAATTGCAAAATCATACATACAGTTAAAGGTAAATCATCAGCATCCAATATATGCATCTTAGTAAAATCAGAATTTCCCACACCGACAATAATTATTGATAGGGGTAATGAACTAGCTTTGATTATTGCTCTTATTGTTGATTGCATATCTAAAGTAATGAGATTATTAATAATAAAATTTATATATTATTAATAATAATTCATATATGATTAATAATAATTTATATATGATTAATAATAATAATTTAATATATTATAATTACCTGTGATTACACCATCTATATTTAATATATATATTAATAATATTTTATTTAATGAATTTATTATGATAAAATATTCAATTATTAAAGATTAAAGTTTAAATTACCTGTAATTATTAACAATACATAATAAACCATATTATTTCCAGCATCCAATTCTGACCTAATTTTTCGGGCTGTGTGATTTATTATCTGTCATTATTTATAATATAAATAATATAGATAATATAAATATATATATATAGTATATAATATAAATATATAATATTGATATGATATAATAAATAATGAAACAACAACAACACACATACAGGAGAAAAATTTGTAGGTCCATATAATTCAACAGAATTCATTGTTTGTGAATATGCAGTTAGTATTTCATCAACACCTGTAACTTCAGGCTAAATAAATAATAGATAATAAATAATAAATTATTAATAAATAATTAATAATTATTATTTATTTAGATAATTAATAATTTAATCTTACATTTTTATGATCATTATTCAATGGATAAACATGTGAAAACACTCCATTAAATTTAGCACCAAATCCATAAACCTATATCAATATTA